AACAATACAAAAATATCATTTACACTAATATCTTGACCTCTTATAACTAATTCAATATAAATGCATCATTCTAGATCGAGATACACATGTCTATATAAATTCTTATACAAGTGATTGCAAAATGGCATATAATCCTAAGTTAGCATAATTGTTACAAATTTGTTACATTACCAAAAAGAAAGAGAAGAGCTATACAAATTGAAGCTCTTTAGGACTCTGTAGCCCCTTCCTTCCCTTTGCTCCTATTAAAGCCTTCACCTGAAAATATAACCATAGGGTGAGTTAACAACTAATAACTAAATAATCTAAACAAACTACTCATACGTGAGAACATTTAGTGATTATGTGAAGTGTCATTTAAATATATGTGCCAAATATATCATGTTACACACACATATGGACAATGGAGATAGGCATGATCAACACACCATCTTGTATCATCCTTATTTCTTCTGACCGAAACCGTGGACTAACAATTTTGGAGAACTAAATATACGTGACTAGATAGGCTCAAGGTCATCAATTGTAGGAGGTAGCACTAACCAAGGGTGCCTTCACCTACTGTGGATTATAAATTCTCCCTTTCACAAATACTTGAGGTGTCATAAGCCAGATCTATCTCAAGTAGTATTGAAACTTTCAAATAAATATTGAATTGTGCATCGTGACCTCTATGGTGCCAATGTACCATATGAATTTTCAAACAATGTTCCCGAACAATACTAGGGTGAACTTTCACCCTCTCATAATGATCATGCCAAACATATATTTAACAATTCCATACATAGTCATAAACATATAAATTATAATAGAATAATCATTTCCACTATAAATCATACAATTTCATAAATACATATGCATGAACATAGGATTTAGCATAAAATTTTTAAAATCACAAATGTGCAACATGTAGTTATCCATTTCACTTCACATAAAATTTTTAAATCATATTAATATTATACTAATATGAAACCAAAATAATAGCTTTGAAAATTAACATACAACCATCCAAACACACAAATGGAAAGTTTAGATAATTCAGTAACCTTAACCATTTTATTACTAAAAGGATACCGTGGTCAAATAACAGCTATATAAATGTCTAATAGTGCATCAACTCTAATCAATATTTAATTTAGAAGATTGAACATTTAAAATTAATTATCCCTCTAATTAACCTTTTTCTAGCATAATTTAGGTGCTCACTATACTCAAAGTCTTACTTTAACACCCTCAACAATTCCAATATATTTCATTAATTTCATTTAACCCAAACACACTAATAACACCATTCTTTTAGCCACATTGTTCCAAAACTCTTAAATCTCACTTAGGGTTCATCCAAACCCTTACTAAAAATTTTAAATCATCACTACATAATCCATAAACCTAAGTTTAAAAGCTTGATTTAACTCCTCAAGACCTTAATTAAGCTAACGAGTTCGGTTAAAACCTAAGAAAATATGAAATCAAGCCCCCACCATACCCAAATTTATCAAAATTCACATAAAATAGAGGAAAGGGGAAGAGGAAACTTACTTAAGGAAGTAGCAAGCTTTAAACACCTTCAAAATGCTCCAAAAGTCAAGCCCTAATAGACCCAAGAGCCTTCTATATCACCTCCCACATTTCCTTTCTTTTCCTCCTTTATTTTTTTGCCCATTCATGAATCTAATATATGTAAATTTTTGCTCATATCCCGTGGCGCATGCCATGTCCGCCGCGATGGATGACACAAAATGGCTCGACACAATTTTAGGCCTCCTTCTATGCCCTGGTCTGCTCGAACTCTGATCTAGTCTTCTTCTAAGGCTATCCAATGATCTAAAAACCATATTAGTCATCAAACATCATTAACTTGTAATTCTCTTATTTTGATCAATTTATCCTTTTAAGCACTTATAAATTCCAAAGCTAAAAACTTAGGATGTTAGAAGGATCTTGGTAGATTGAACTATTTTCTTAAGTTTAAGGTCCATCATAGGAGTGATGGTATATATCTCTCTTAGGTCAAGTATGCTACTGATTTGATATTAAGCTCACCTTTCTAATAAGGAGATTGAAACTATTCCTATTGAACTAAATGTTCACTATACTTTAAATGATGACACTTTGTTGGATAATCCTACTCGTTATTGCTAGCTAGAGGCCTTATTTATCTTGCTGTCACCCATCCTAGTACTACTTATGTAGTCCACATTATCAGCCATTTGATGTTAGAGCCTCACACAACTCATTATGTAGCAGTTCTTCTGATCATTTGGTGTATTTGAGGTACTCTATATCATGGGCTTCATTCCATGCTAGCTCTTCTCCCGAGCTACAAGCTTACTATGATGCTGATTAGGGTGGTGATTGTGATGATTGACAGTTTACAAATGATTTCTCTATCCTCCCCAATCATTCCCTTATCTCTTGAAGAAGTAAGAAGCAGATGTTAGCCTCTCGCTCTAGTGCTAAATCAGAATACCATGCATTAATAAACAATATCGTTGAGGTACTTTGGCTTTATTGCTTACTTGATGAATTGGGAGCATCTCAAAGCTCCTCCACAGACTTTTACTATGATAGTCAAGCTTTAATCAAGATTGTTTACAATAGTGTGTTTCATGAGCGGACCAAACACATTAAGATTGACTATCACTTTACTTGGTAGTATGTTGTTTAAGGCACCATCCAACTTGTTCCAATTTGAACAAAGTATCAGCTAGCAGACTTGTTAACGAAGTCTTTTCATCCAAGCCACTTTCAGTTTCTGGTAGACAAACTCAAGCTACTCTCAATTAAGCCATCTTTAGTTTTAGAGGGTATGTTATATAGAATACTCTAAAGATATATTACTATTTATTATGCTATTATTGAGAGATATTATTTCATAAGATATTGTTATAAATAGTCATTATTAGGTTATTTCTTCCTCCTTATATATATCATACTCATCACAATAATAATATACATGACATTTTTCAATCTTACCATGGTCTTTCTTTTATCTTTGATAGCTTTCAATGTATATATTGTAATGGTTTTGTGTTCCTAATTTATCAAACTCACTTCTTCCAATTTTTATTGCCAAAAATAAATAAATAAAAAAAGTCCCTTCCTTCGATCGTATTAGGACACATTACCCCTTCATTCATTTTAAAGGTTGAGCCAAGATAAGAAATGATATATTTTTACATATATTATCTGAAAATTTCTGTTTTTTTATTTTAAATATAATACCGTATAAAGCAAAGATGATTTTTTTTTTAATCAATATCAATACAAAATGGTAAAATTTTTATAAGGACATGCCTTTTTTTTTTATAATTAAAGCCGTTTAACCAATGATGGCTCTCTGGTTGAGTTTTTTGAGCAGCAAACGAAGCCCCATTTAGTCTAGTCCAGTCATCAAGTAACAAATAAAATGCATAGTAGATTGTTCTATTTAAAATGTGAGGGATAATGCAATTCATTTCTCAAATTCTATAATATAAAAAGTCCATATATACATATATATACATACATATATATATATATATATATATTTTTATAGAAAACTTCAAGTAAGAAAAGTTTATAATGTAAACTGTCGATGTAGAAATATTAAACTTGTCAGATGATTTGTTTTACTCTCATTTAAAAATGTAGAAGTATTATTAAATTAATTAAAATTATCAAGTTCTTGGACCATTGATATTTGAACGTAGATGTGCTTGGATTCCATGTTGTTTCCCTAAAATCTGTTTGTTGTGCTTCTTATCACAACGATTTAATGGAAGGGGTCAAGTAGTAATTGGCAATTTATGATGAAAAAGAATAGCGGTAATCTCATTCACATGCCATGATAAACATCCGAGTGATAAATATTAAAAAAAATATAATTTTGAATCCTTCTATTTTGCACGTGTCTTATTATAGGTTATGATTACTACAGCCTCTACTAAATTGCAAATGCATTAGAGGTATTTTCCCTCCCAATCATTTGAAAGTTATCTGTCTTCCCCCCCCCGGGCCACAAATAAGCTCCTCCTTCTAATAAAAAAATACAGGACATTGGTAATTAATTTATAATTTTAAAAAATATTAATTGAAATCTTAATTTTTTAAAAAAATTTAAATATTTTTAATTGTAACATTATTAAATACCCTATATAAGTTCCTTAATAATGATAATTAAAATTTTACTATATCATTTTTTTAAAAAGAGTAATAAATAAAATAGAGATATAATTAAAAAAATAATTATTAAAGTTACCCAATATTCTATATTTTGAATCGAATAAAAATTTTAAAAGATGTCATATATTATGATTCAAAATAAGTATATGATTGAATCATATTTGAGTATTGTTAGCTTAATCAAGAGGTGGCTTTTCAAAAAAGCATTCACATAAATTCAAACTCAAAACCTCATGAACAGTCATAACCCCTTCCATTAGAAATAATTTGGAAATAATGCTCGTTGATAAGCGGTCGTTTTTAGAGATCGAAGAATTTTAACTTTATCAGTGTTGTCATAAAATCAAATCATTTATCTTTATATATATAAATGCTGCTGTCTTTTTTTTCCTTCCCCATGCATGAGTATCACGCTACTCAAGGTTACGATTCCTAAAATTATTGTTCTTTTCATTTTTTTTATTATCATCGCTAATTTATAATCGACATTTTTTTCTTTCCCACATTGATGTGATAAAATATATTATCAAGACTAGATTCAAGTATTATTAAATTCAATTCCGGCCAAACAAAAACAGGATTACTAAATTCAATTGGGAACATATCCTCCAGCGTGACTATCTTTCATTGTTATTATCATTTTGTACTATATAAATATATATATTAAAAAAACTGTGTCAAACATATTTTTATTGGCATGATAACATATCATTACCATCACTACGATATGATGATTACACACTAGCCAATCTTAAGTCCATCCTTATCCTTAATCCCATTTGAAGGCTCACCCAGATTAGCGTAAGAACCTCGTTATTTCAAGCCCCAAAACAAAATTTCCAACCCTAAATTTTCTTATTGAATAAAAAAAACTTATAAAGGTACAAAATCATACATTTACCGGGGACAAAAACATACATTTATTTGGGACAATGAAATCATACAATCTAAAAGCACTTTGAATTTGAAGACAGTCATATCATGACTGTATGAAAGGATTTATTTTCCTCCCACTTCCTACCAGAACCTTAGGCCACGATCAATCGGTCCACAAGGCATGCCATTTTATTCACCTTATTACTGCAGCTCTCCGACTGGTGCCTCGTTGAGCCACAGAAAATGAATGAAGTCATACAGCTTGGCACTTACACTAACCTGCTTCGGAAGGAATAAATTCAGAATCATAAAGATGTCAATGATAGAGATAATATGGGATAAGGTGACAGTTTATGACCTTATATGGCGTCGGGTTAAGTCTCCTCATGTGATCAGGTCGCATTTGTTCCAGTTGTTTAATGCAACGCTCTCTAATGTCCTTTAAAGGTGGTAAAATTTCTCTCGTGTTTTCTTCAAGAACCAAGTAGCCGTATGTTACCCACACAAAAGCAAAAATTTGACAATCAAGTTGATTTACTTGTATATTAATAGCCATTAAATAATTTTCCAAGGAGTAACTCCGAATTTTTTTCCAATGAGATATGTTCGTTGTGAAGTATGTTATTGATATTTATCTCCATAATCTTTTGTTCTCTCACCTGAACTCCCGCGCCAGTAACACCTTAGAAGCTCCTCAACTTGCTGTGGCACCACATATGCTCGCTTGGATTCTTGGAAGGGATGGCGGCATAGGATTCTTTCTCCTACCTACAAATAATAAAATGTTAACAAGATGTTTAAGCCTACCTTGATGTAAATATATGAAATCAACTCTTAATCATATGGCTGTGAGGCGACAGGTCAAGAGATTTGAAACTCCAGGAAGCACCCAGATGACCCAAACTAATGTAAAGGCCCTGTGCCCGTTATCTGATTTTATACTAAGAGTGGTAATACGTGGTTTCCTTACTTCTATGATATTCACATCCAAATCACTCAGTGCATGTAGGCTTTGATCGGTTCCCTCAAGGAAACAAAAAAGTTGCAGGCAACTCCCTAAGCATGCCTAAGAATAATTATTTCAATCCCCAAACATACGTTAAATAAGGTGGCCCGCAAAATACCTTAGGAGGGGGTTCATTTTCCCCCGTCATTATGTCTACGAGGGGATAGCCTTCTTTTCCATACAACCTGTAGCATCTTTTCTTGCATGGAATAGAGACCTAAGCCAGAGAAAGGGACAAAGGGAGAAAAAATTATAAATAAAGAGGAATGGATGATTGACTGACATGTCCTGTTCCACATGTTCAAACCTTTGAAACATCTTCGGAAAGTTTGATGCGAGGCTGATTATTTATCTCAACCAATTTGAAAACAACACCTAAAGCAGCTTGAGCATAACACGTAACCAGGTATGTCCCAATTCCAAAGGCATCAACCTCATGACCCTGCAGGGTTAAAAAAGCACAAGCTTTTAAACATCAGAAACCTAGCAATCCTGAAAAAGGGAAGAAGTTACAAGATCCAGCAGTCTGAAATGAACTATTACCTGTTTGTTTAAAGCATCCAATGTTTCCTCATTGAGGTCATTACTAGCAGTGATGCCCATCTTTCCAAAACCAGGCACTTTGAATTCCTTCTCAATGGAGCAAAAGAATTTTCTCGCCTCACAAGACAGATATGCCAGATCGCCAGAGTCCAATCTAATTCCAATTGCTTTATATCTATACAAGACATCATCTAAGCTCAGATAAGGAGTAACCAATTCGATTAATGCTTCAAAAGCAACCTAGAAGCTAGCAATGAAGGAGATTTTATGTCTGGATTGAAAGTTTTTTACATGACAGGTTTTCATGATTCTACAAATCTCTAAGCTGCAAGGTTAGGTTTCTAAGAGTCAATTCGAGATCAAGTAAAACATAAGCAAATTTTATATATTTATTGTCCCGATTAGGCAGACTGAAGAAAAGGGGGAAAAGGACCACTGCCTTTTATTCTGTGCAAAATCTTGCATATATGGAAATAAAAGTTCAGATGTAACATAATAGGCAATGATGTGAATCCTAATCATCACCATAATAGATGTTATTGCAGCCACTCTATCGTTGTTACTCGTTTCTGTCAATCGTGCCTTGTAATTTAGCATATGATTCTTGATTCATTTGCACCAAAAAAAAAAAAAAAGCCAAAAGATTTTAATCTCTATCAGTTCGAAATTAACTGGAATAGCAAAGAAATAACAGGTTCTTTTTATTAATGTAAAATGTTAATTTAAGTAAAATTTTAAACATGAAAAAACTTCCTGGCATACCCTAAGTCATGAAGAGCCAGTGCAACCGCACAGAAGTTTGGGATTCCACTTCTCATAACCTGTCAAAATAAATGTGAATTCATTGACTGAAGAAAATCTAAAATAAAAAATTAGGATGATGGTAAAATGGAATGACCAACAAAGTAAAATCCAAGGAACTTTAAAACTTGCTATTAAACATATTGCCAACAAAAGATATTGCTAGACAGGTGACAATAACTGGAAATTATAGTTTCAGAGATTGCACAGTTAACAATGTTCAGTATCAAGATATGAGATAGATTGATTTAGCAAGCAGAAGTGATGTTTATGTATTAAAAATTCATGAGTCACATGCTTATCACACTATTAAGGTTAAGTATGACTTATCATACATGCCATCCAGCTGTTATACATCTGTTCTCCAGCATCTGTATAGTGGACAAAGACCAACCTGTCCTGAGTTAGACTATCTTCATTTGTACTTGAGGTTTACACTTACCTGAGATCAATATTGGTAATTGTCAAGAAGAACTACCTGTCTATCCACTCATCTCTATCAAGCGAAATTCTAGGACACACCATAAGGACCAATTTTCATGTCAAAATAGAGTGGACTCTTGCAAGTATAATTACTTTTCCTTTTTAACCCCTGAGAAGATAAGTGATAGGAACAGGTCTGCATCGGTGATTAAGAATATTAAAAATTATGAATATCTCAAGCATTGAAGCTGAATCGTAATCAGACTCCACAAGAAATATTTCTCAATGAATTATGCATCTTTACTATTTTAACAGAGTCTCCTATATTAGGCTACAGCAATCTTTTCTGTTGAAACTAGTTCACATAGGGCATCATGAGAGATTTGCAGGATTTTCCCACAATTTTTGGACATTTCAAGCTAAAGAAATACCAACAATTTATATGACCATTTGCAGTTGCAAGAAATAGAAACTTATAATGAAAATACTTACATCATATGTATCTACGAGGGCAAGAAAGCTATCAGGAAATGCCAGTGCATATGATGTGAATGCTGCCAGCTCACTTTGATTAGTCTCACCAAATTTGCCACGTAGTGAATTTGACCACTGCAAAGTATAAACATCCATCATCTCACACACATAATTCTATCTTTCATCCGGTAACTCTGCCAGAGATAAAGAGATGCTAGAATGATAGTCATCATTGATAACCTTGGGACAAAACGATCTTCTTCTTCTTAATGATAGTCATCATCGACAACCTTGGGACAAAACGATTCTTCTTCTTCTTCTCCCTTTTTTTCCATTGTGAGAAAAATAGTTTAAGGGAGTTTTCACAATGAGGAACAAGGACTAGAATTTTTTCCTATGGATTCACTGTTCCATGGCAAATTTTAACTTGGAATAACATTATTCCTATAAGAAATCATCCAGTGGCCTCTGATTCTCATCGCCTTGGTTTAAAAATGCCTTTATGCAATATGCAGGCCCCTAATTTTCCTCCAAGGGAATAACAAAATTTATATTGTTTACCTCATTTTGTGGGTAGTCAACTGTGTGATCGCATATCATATATTATAGGTTTTCTTTCTCTGATTCTCCTCTCTCTGCCGACCAAACATCAGGAGAATTGTTATCCTCTGTCTTAGTTCTCTCAGTTATAAATATATGTGCTGGCTCTACTTTTATTAATAACATATGGTATTAATTATTTCAGTTATTTTCAGTCCTAATCTCTGGCCTTAAATTCTCACAGCTACTGGGCATGAAATTATATCAAAATTTCATTTCTATAGCTAAAAAAGGAAAAAGAAAAAAAAAGAAAAAGAAAATATCCTTTCACAATTGTGAAAGTTCAAAAGATAACTTAAAAAAATTTGAAGTTTACCAATACTTGCCATTCTCACCGTCAAAGACCAAATATCTCAATGGTCAAAGCTTTTAGGAGAAGGTTAACTTTTTATTAATATCTTTAACAAGCATGTTCACAGAAAAGCCTTTTTGAACTTGAAATGTAGAAAAAGCACAGCATATACAAACAGTGTACAGAAAGACTAATTAACACACAACTTAAATTCTGAGGAAAAGGCTTAATGGATTATATTAACATCCCCAACTTTCTCTAATCAATCACTATTATGTTCTTTCCATCCGCCAGGGCAGTTAGACAACGCATTCAAATAGTTAATAGAGAGAAGTACAATAATTAACACAAAGGATGCAAAGGCCCATATCATGACACCTGAATTTTGCTCAGCCATGATTGAGCCAAACTAACAAAGTCCTCACATGTACTTGAGCCATCTTGTCTTTGAAGTGATTTATCTATAATCTCGTCAAGGCTCTGCAAGTTAAAATAAGCAAAGTATATAAAACAGAATGAATCATTTTACACAATGCAAATGAAAATTTTCACACAAAAGCCACCCAAAAACTGATAAAAATATGCTCAACAAAACTTCAGAAAGAAGTTTAATTGTCCTGTTTAGAGGGGATCTATCTCATAATTTTGAAGTTTCATATGGTCTAACTTCAAATTTATGGGGTTTAACGCACATTTCAATGAAAAATGAAAAGGGAAAAGGTTTGCTTAATTTCTCATTTGTTTCTATCATATTCACCCAGTTGCTTAGGCTTGTACAGTTGCTTTTGTCTTTCACCATAATCTCCACCATGATTCCAACAATGAATCTGTTCTTTTTTATTCCCAAATTCTCAGCATTAGAATTCAAACAGGTTTATAAATGTCTAAAGTCTGAACTATTTATGCTGCAGAGTAAGACCTTACAACTTGAAATTGGGGCATGAAAAATAAAAATTGCAGCAAACAACAGAATGTTGCCATTTACTAGTAACTTGTATATCTTTTCCAATATGTATGACTTTCCTATTCACTAATGCATAGAAACTAGAATAAATACCACAACAACAAGCCTTGTCCCACAAAGTGGAATCAGTTACATGGATTGCATCATGTCATTACACCCTATCAACAACCAACTGCTTATAATATGGAAATAAATATTAGAAATATATAATCAAACAAAATTATGTTCCACTTTTAAGTATGTTGCATGGATAGGTTAAGCAAGAATCTTTCTGCTTTGAACTGCATTGGGAGACATATCACTACAAATGAACTAGCATATGAAATGAAAAAGTTCATTAAACATCAGCCAAATATAATAATAGTCACTCCTTGTTCACCCAAAAAAAAAAAAATCAAGTGAAATGATCACACACCATATATGAGCTAACAAAAGCATGAGAATGAGTGCCACGAAGGGGTATGCCAAATAACCTTCCTGCTGCAACATTGCTATTGAAACACAGCATGAAAAAGTCAAGTTATTAAAAAGAAAAAAACTATTAAGAATCTTCCAAACCAAAGATAAAGAAAAGGTAAATCATATTTTCTCATACCAATCTCACTCCCTAAGTTTTGACATAGTAATGTTACTTCTAGCACCTCATATTTGTACATACAGCTAGTTTTAATGATAATGTTCATAACATGACACTCACATGCCTAATATCCTGAATGTTTTCAGACTGTTAATCTATATGAGCAAATAAGAGGCGATGCCATATTTTTGTCCAACTAATCATGTGGAAATTTATGCACATTCAATACAACATCTAAGGAATGGGGCCATAAGAGAGTTGATTAAGTCATCTCTCAATAATTGATAAATTTTTGTTTGGAAATGTGAGAGCCATCATGAGGGGTATCAACATTAAATAGTAGGTTGGGAAATAACGTCCCAGTTTATGAAATAAAATAAAGAGGGAAGACATTGCAATTGCATTGACATTAATGCAAGAACTTATATACTAATGTTCATCCATCACCACCCATCTGAATTATGAAATAAAGTAGCCTCACAAAATTCATAACTAATGATTTTTTGTTTGTACAATCAGATTACTAAATGGAACTACTCATGATTGAATGGTTGGTTAGTTCAAGATTTTATATCATCAACTGACCTATTTCTGTCCTGTCATACTAAATATGGTAGATTCGTGATGACGTATTACCAGAATATTTTGAAATATTCTAGACTCTATTATTTTGAAGGCCTTGAGTCATATATTACAATGTACAAACCCACAGCAATTACTCTGCACTCACGTAAGAGCAGAGGATTTACCTATTCATAAACAATAGTTAAAAGAAAAATGCCCTCTTGTTTTAGATCAATAGTAAAGTAAAGCATTACAACTTCTCAAATAAAAAATATTTATGTCATAACAACATCCTATTAACATTAATTCTAGCACTCGAGTAGATTATAGCAATGTAAAGAGTTAAGTCCACAAAATCTTAAGCGTGGAAAATCAATAACTGCTAGAAAAGCACAATATAATAAACAAAATAGTGAAATATTAAATAAGTGATATGGTATAAAAGTTACTCAGCAAAATACTTCAATGCCCAACATTCTAAATGCAGTTTTAAAAATCAGTAATGATAATACCTTGTTGCATCAAATCCTCCAATATAGCAGTACTTTGATGCTCCTATTGCACCATCAGGCCCCTACATTCAGAATAATAGATTCTTCTGATGAATTCTGAGAAAGGCCAACTGTTCCTAAGTTTACTTGCAGTAAACATTATTTCTGGAAAGCTTAGTTACCTGAGCCCTTCGTAGTCCAAACTCAAGTAGAAGTTTGGATTTCCCAGCAACAAAACGATGCCTAGCAGCATTAGTAGTAACTAATGATGCATAATTAACTAGATTCACAAAGGGTGTTTCCAGCAATTGAACCAGCTGAGCAGCATACAAGCATATAGGTCACTTTAGCATAAGAGTCGTATGCGTTCTTCAAAAGGAAATAGTATTCAATAGATGTCTTTAAATGGTAGTAACAAGCAAGTACTCACAGCAATTGGTCCTTCAATTCTCAATAGAGGTGTCTTAGGAAAAACAACCGTTCCCTCAGGAATTGCATATACCTCCACATCAGAGCAATCAATTCCTCTAAGATATTCAAAGAAACCATCCTATGAAAAGATCAACAATTACTAATGAGTCAAACAATTCACATGAAGAGAGAAATTAAAATAATGAAGGCCAACATAAATAAGCGCCACACATAATTACTGTAAAGAAAAGTATCAGCTATATCATTAAGGAACGCAACAAGATGCATATGGAAGCTTATTAACATTTCATGCTTAACATGGACATCATTTCACCAAGAAATCCAAATGATTGTAACTTTATTTAAGTATGCATATCTTAGGATTTGTCCCATTCCAAGCAAAGCTAGACAACATGTCTCAAGACTTTTGTGAACAAAAAGACATCTAGGTTAAGGTTCTTTCTTCTAATCTATGTGGTACTATTTCTTTAACAGCTAGCGACATGCTACAATCTAGCTTCTGCTCACTATTACCATAAGATAAAATTTCAGCAAGACACTTTGACAAATGATGGAGAGAACTTTAACCCTTTCATTGTGAAGAAAAGCCTGCTAATGACAAACCGGTGGGAGAGCTTTATAGCTTGGTTTACCTCACATGATGTAGGTAAAGTATGCTGGATGAATTTGATCTCCTCCTCTGTGAATTTGAAATTAGCTATGAACTTTATGCATTCTTCCAAACCAGCAAAGACTGTATACTCCCCACCAAAAGGATTCTTACGAAAATATAAATCAAACCTGAACCAAGTTAGAATCTCTATTAGACTAATACAAAAATCTTCTTATTAAAATTTCAAAGAACACCTGAGCACTAAAAGAAAATAAGCACGGGTATGCCACTAAGAAAGAAAGCGAGGACAAGCTCGGGATCTTTGGAGCGGTCAGTAAGGAGCCAATGAACTAGACAACGACAATGAAGTATATAGGTTCTGTAGTCATGGATGAACTAAATTCATTAATACAACAGAAATCATAAATAGAGCTAATTCATCTGAGAAGAACGCGTATGTTAGACTTAAGTAACATCTACACGTTATTTCTCTTAAACATTCATTTGCCGTCGTAGTCAATGGAATCAACCAATGAAAGCCTTTAAACGAGGACAAAGATATTCAACGCTTGCAATTCGTTACAACCAATCTTAAATAATAATTTTTGTTCTGTTCTTTCCAAGACTTGCAGGCCATTAAAAGAAAGGGAAAGGCAATACAGAATTTGAATCCCTGCTACCTTCAGTTGCATTTCTTAGGACAAACAGAGGATAAAGGCAATAAACAAAACAGATGAAAACTAAAAACGATCACTCACACAGCTCGTTCTTGATGCTTGCCAGCTTTCCAGTAAGCGTAAGCCATAGTAAATTGGTAGAGATCCGTGAGCAGAGGCGAAACCATCGGGTTCGTGGGTCCATCAATAACCCGACCCGTATTCTGCTCAGTCGGGCCGTTCTCCTTCACCTTCATTGTTTTCTCCATCGAATTCCTAGGGTTTTCCCTGATTTTCTTTTTCTACCAAAATCTTTGTATTGCCGTGCTTTTCGTAGCTCGTGTATCTCTTATATGCTTCCCAGAGCGCTATCAATATAAAAGGTGAAACGAGCGCGAGCGTCACGCACGGGGTTAAAGAAGACAAACAAAGGTGGAGGGATGGTTCGTTGAAGTTTATCAGGAAATGTAGGTGTTGGACTCAAACTGGAAAACGAAAAGGAAGAAGAAGGAGAATTAAAAATGAATAAAAGGATAAAAAAGTGGATCAAGATGAGACAAAAGCTCGATGTGTGACCTTGGGTTCAACGCAATTGGGCATTTTCGGACGAGAACAAATTCATCCTCTGTGGACTACACAGCTTCGTCGCCCCTTAACGACTTTCTCGATCACGTGGCAGCTTCTCTGGTCTCCATTGTTTACCTGCTTCGTCACTGATTTGTTTTTGCTAACTACAAGTCGCCAGGTTCCCCAACGGACTCTCGGCCACCTTTAGTTGTCAGCCGCCTGAGTTAACATCAACATCGTCCCCGTCAATTTAACCGGTTAAAAATTAATTATTATAAAATTTATTGATAATAAATTTTATAATAATTAATCTTTTTATATAAAATTTCAACATAATTCTTCCACCATAATAAATTTTATGATAATTAATTTTTTTATATAAGATTTTAATATAATTCTTTCACCACTTGAGAACCTCTAGATAAGTATGCCAGTAATATTTTTAGACTCTCAAAATTTAAAAATGCTAATTAAATACCTCATTAACATTTAGAAAAAATATATAACTTAAAAAATTCATGGAGGAAGTAACAAGAAATTAGCCCCAATTTATAAGGTGTTTCTATATTTATTAATAAAGTTTATTGGATACAATTTACAATTTTCATTTTAGTTTTTTTATAAGTTTCTAAAATTACTGTTCATCATTAATAAAAGGGTGAGGGGAAAAATTATTTAAATAGTAAAATAATGAGAGGTGATATTGAAATAATTATTAACATTAGGATTTTATTTTTGGCAAAACATCTTATATTTTGAAATATAGAATTACTTCTAAAAATGTTTTATAAAATGGGATGTAGTAAGTTTTATTTTAAACTTTCATTATCTTATTAGAATATTGTTAATGTTGTATAAATTATGAAGTCTTATGTTTTATGTATTTAATTTTTGGCCCGAAACATATTTAAGGAAAGTTAAAGAAAGTTATACCTTTGTGCAATTTGAATCATGCATGATAACGAACCGGCCACTAAAATTCATTTCGAAATGCTGTTGATTCATGATCATGATAATTAATATTATTTTAAGTCATGTCTTATATAATAAATAATACCATTTCAGCTATGTTTAGTGACTATCCGGCCACTAAATTCATTTTAAAATTATGCTGATTCATGACCATGATGATTAATATGTTTTTGTACTGGGAGTCTAATTTTATGATTTTAATAAGCAGTAATACATATGAACTATTATTTCTCAATCTTTATTATTCAATTCGTTCAATTTGCTAAACAATGCGTTAATAAAAAGTAATGCGTTTTACATATGGAACTTTGAATTTTTGTTTAGACTTGCACATGTTTATCACACAAAAAAAAATCAAAAGTAAAATCAAAAGTGTGCTAGCGTCAACAGGAGAAATAATAAAAGAAAAATGCGCATTTGAATGACAAACAAAAGGCAATTGAATAATACCCTGACTAAGAATAGTCAAAAAAAAAAAAAATGTGAGGAATAAAATAGTCTAAAAGTTTTGCTTTGACGGTCTTACTTTGTTTTTTAGTCACTGGACCAATTCTCTTTCCTTGTTTTGAATGGTATACTTTGAAGTCTGAAGTATTGGTTAAAAAAAAAAAAAAAACACTTTCAAGTCTAAAGTCATAATTTAAGGCTACGTTTGGTTTTCATTTTGGGATGCTAGAAGTCTCTTGGAGAAGCTCTTTGCGTTCAAAAGTTGTTTGAACACGTTTTTAATTGTGAGAAAGTCCATTTGGAGACTTCTTTTCTTTTATTTTTTTACATTTAAAAAGTATTTTCTTCAAAAAGCTCAAAATTCTTGCATCGAAATTTTCCAAAAGCAAAAAGTCAAATGCCCAAGGGTGAAAACAAACAGGCTCTTACTAATGTGATTGACATAACTAATAAATACAAGAAATTTCAATCAATACGTTTAGTTATGATTTATTTTTTTTATTATCGATTATAGAAGACCAATGTAGCTTATGTTTAATGATAGCTAAGAAAGACAAGCTAACTGTCACTGAAAAAGGAGGGAAAAAAATACTAATAGCTGAGAGAGGCTTACGATTTAAGTATCTATAACGAAGATTAAAGAATATCACCAAGCATTCTATCCCCTTAATCGTTATCGCAGGGATCAACGAAAAATCACGTTTGGTTCGAAAGCATCTTTGTTTTTCGCAAAGAATGTGCTTTTCAAGGACTTGGCATCGTAGAACAGCAAAAGCAAGGCTCTTATTCTTATGGATTAGGTTATAACACATTTCACTTTAATAAATAGTAAAGCATCCTAGGACTAACTTTGGCTAACATCTCCCTTTCATTGTTCAATCTTATAAGAAAGAGTTGTATTATTCATAAATTATCAATAATGTCTCACTTTTTTTTTTGTTAAATATTCCTTTCAAATTTGAATAGTAGGAGTGGGACATGAGTCATCTTGTCTTTTGGCATTTGTCAAGAACCCAGGCCTGTTCATTAAGCTTAAATGACCAAAGTTCAAGTTCTAATTCTAAATTAAATAAAGTAAATACAGAAGACTCCGTTTTAATGGCGGAAAATGTGTGGCTTCTACAAGAGGCAAAAGCTGGCCAATGCAGGTATACGGTATTCCCACAAACAACCAAGCTAGCTTCATTCTCGTAATCATCACAATATGGATTTTGAATATTCTTCTACAAGTCCATTGTCATTGGATCCTGTCTCAAACAAACAAAATTTAAGACATGGCCAATGCACTTGATATGTAAATCAATGTTATATGCTTGGATCCAGATCCCATGCACCACATTTTAGCTACTACTTAACTGACAAGTATGAACCTAAAAATTAAGTTGTGTTCATTCTGTCTTAAAATGACTTCTCTCGCTAATCTCTTCCCGCAATGCATGTTTTCAATTCTTCACTCCGGTCGTTTTGCTTATCAAAGGCGAGTGATACTGAAGCCAACGTACCTGACTCAAATTCTCGTACAGCTGAGAAAACAAAAGGACAAAAAATAGAGGACATGAGCATGTTTGTTTGTGTATACTGTCAATTCTGTCAGATAATCAAATAATCATATAAGATGTCAAGATCATCACACCCTGAGAATCACCCATAGGATTGGTATTTGAATCTTCTGCATTTAATTGTTTGCGCTGATATAAGTCCTCCCTGCATATCTGCTTTATAATTCAAGAAAACAAGTCTGAAATTGACTGCTATCGGACAGACAAAAACATGTAACAAAACTTGAGCATACCTCAGAAGATGATGCTTTGAGTTCAAAGGGTCTAAGGTGCCCTATGATTTGAGAATCCAACCCAAAAGGTGTTTCCGAATTGATTATATTTAAAGGAGAGGGCACAGTGCGTTTGTTAGATAGATTGGATTCATTGTCAAGAGGCATAGTAGTAGTTAAGTTTAAAGGACACGACCCGTCTTCTTCTTCGCCATACTCAACTCTCATCTGAGACAGTTGCAGAGGCTGCAAGCCTTCAGCGAAGCACGTAGGAAGCAAATTCAATCCGTTTCTTACAGACAGCATCTGAAGTATTAATCATTAGAACATATCAGAAACACACTGACCAAAGAAGCGTTCACCTACATTTATTGCACAAGTGACCATTTCACTGAGATTTTGCAACCATAAGGTATAGACAGCATCATATATAATATGTGAAAACCATAGGAGCGTTCATATTGATTGCTCTATAAAATACACGCGCGCCGCCCAAAAATTGCAATGTTGCATCGCACAGAACCCAATAAAACAAAAGCCTTTTCTATGCAGGATAATAACTTCCAAGATAAGTCTATAGGATTGCTTAATCAAGCTCCAAAATTTACAACCAACCCAGGAAGCAGAAACAAAAAAGTATCAAGGCCCTAAGGAAGGACAGTGCAATCACTATGCTATAAAAGCAGTGAAGATGAGCAATGGCACTTCAATTTTTTGCCACCACATGAAGCATCCGACATTCTGTTTTTTGCATGGTCTCGGCATCAATACAATGTAACAGTTTACTACTTGAAGTGCATATTGTTTAATCTTTTCTTAAAACCATGGTTCCAGCTAAACTTTTCTCAAATTCTCCAACTTTCAATTACTTGCCAGGTTCTGCAGATAATTGTTCCCACCCCTAACTTTGCATCAAAATTATGACAATGGATAAACTTCAGGTGCTACAATGTTTTCTGTGACAGTCAATTTTACTAACTTCAAAATAAGGATTTAGAATTATGAATACCAAATGAATATTTTGTATAATCAAGAAAACCATTTTTGACAGGTTGTTAAAAATTATTTCCTTCTTTTTTCTTGTCTTCTGAGTTGCGTGCATCAAGGTCTTCCAGTATCAAGCAATGGAATTACAAAATTGTACAACGAGATCTATGCCTACGGTATGAATTCTGTCATTAATCAAGCAAAAATGGTGGGGATAAAATTACTGGTTTTAAAAGAGATATTCACCTGTACTTGAAGCTGAAGCTGTTTAAGATACTCAATAGCTTCATCAAGCATCGAAGCCTTGTCAGTCTGCCAAGAGCATAGACAAGAATCACCCATGTCAGCAGAAAATGACTCCCAATATCTCAAGCGAACCTATATTAAACCAAGTGAAAAAGAAACTTAAAGTACCTTATTTGAATTTGGAATTAGATTCTGCAAAGCCTTCAGCTTTTCGTTGATCCGACTCCTCCTTCGCTGATCCAGAAGTAAAAGAAAACCAGAAAGAAATTTACACAAGCATGAAAAAGAAAATATCAAATCCAAGTACACCGGCAAAAACGGCCATGTTACACAATCATATTCCAATAACCTTCTCAGACAAGTTATGAACTTCTGCAGCTCTGCTTCTCTTCGATGAACGCCTAGGAGGAATGACTTTGGAACCATTGCTTCAACCGTACCCTCCTAAATACAACAATGAACTGTTAAGTGACTGAGTTGCGCTTTCACTTCAGATCTTAGGAAACTCAAAAGATCCCGAGAATGGACAGAGCAAACATATAAAACCAAGGTACTCATCAGTCTGATAACAGTACCTCACTGTCATAATCATACTCATCAGTCTCATTCTCGCTTACTCCAACCGAGGAGGACGACACATTTGCAGCAGAACCCCCCTTCACGTAAGATGAGAGAAAGGCACGGTTTTTAGAGGCAGAATCAACGCCTGAGATTACATCTTGAAGAAGAGAAGATGAGTATGAAAGGCTGGCATTTTCATGCTCGGAAGCGTTGGGTGCGTTTTCAGGCATGTGGGTGAGGAGGGAAGACAGTGGCGGTGCGTCGGAGGAGGAGGGAGGAGGGAGGAGAATCTGATGCAGAAAAAGGGAAAATTCGTCTGGAGGTGAGGTTGAAGACGAAGAAGAGGGAATAACGTTACTCTTTCCATAGCCGTACATATCCCCCATGTCTCTCTGCTTCTCAGCTTTTAGATATCGATAGGAGAGTCAAGAGGGTGCTTCGTTTTTCTACAGAGTTGGTTGCAGAATTTCTTTGTTGGGTTCGTGTAGTTCGGAGGGCTGCTTTGTCTTTATAAGCGTAAGTAAACGAGTAATGTACTTTTCGAAACTGATGACGTGCTCCGATATGGGAAATTGTGGGCGGGTTTAGTATCCAAATTATGACACCAGCCAGTATCACGCGCCACAGGAGCGTGTATACAAACATCAACATTTTCATGCTCGAGCCCCATACCGTCATTAAAATTATTTTAAAATTATGAAATCCTCTCCCCTATATCTATTTAAAAAATATTTATAAAATTGTGTGGCTGGGAAATGACTCATAGCCCAAAGAATATTTATAAAATTACTTGTAGGTTACTATATTAATTTTGTCTTCATGACCAGAACAAGATTTATAATTATGATCTTCCACAGGCAAGCAATGGCGACCCAATATACAGGTAAGGGGCAACTTCACCCCTCACATACATGTAGTATTCAATAATTCTTCCTTTCTATATCTATATTTTTTTTGAAATAATTCTGTTTGAGGTATAGTGGTAATTAAATGTAATACATCTAATGAGAATTCTAATATAATCTTTTCTTCCCATTAATCTCTCCCTCTTATATTTATATGCTCAGTATACACACGTCCCAAATATACACACACTCTTAAAAATAGGCACCATTATGCATGTGTGTTATTATATTTATATATATACACAATAAGTTATACATATATATAGAGCTTTTACAAATATAGCTCATGTTATAGAATTAAATTAAGCAAATAACTTAATATTTATTATATTTTATATTATAACTAATTTATTATATTTGTCAATGATATATTATTATATATTAATAATAATTTTTTTATAAATTTTTAAATTTTTAATAATAAACTCATTGCATATTAATGATAAATTTTTTATATATCAATATAAACCAGTCACACTTTTAAATTTTTAAAAATTTGGTCTATATTTTGTGGGCACAAGATTTTTAAATTTTTAATAATAAACCTCTTTTATATATATGATATTTTAAGTAAAATGTTTTAGCATATAAAACTACCCTTTATATTAAATAGGAGTAAAATATATCAATGCCTTTCAAATATATCATAATTATCCCATTACTATGAAAGAGTATGTTTTACTTAAAACTAAATCAAATCAAATAATAAACTGAATCAGAGAATGTAAGGAAATATATTAAAAATATAACAAGCACTATATGTAATTTTACTTAATTTATTATACACTATTTTTTAGTTGGTAAATTATTATTTATGATAAAAATTAAAACATTTAATAAACTATATATAATAATTAATTTCTGGAAAATTCCCCAAACTGTTGAGACTGGTCCAATCCAGTATACCATTACTTTGTGTTCAATAAAACGGTTGAAAAATTCAACCTGATTTAGTATTAATTTTTTAATCTAAGATTTCGCCAAATATTAAAGCAGTACTAGTAATTTAATATTGACTTGAATAGCAAAGAATTAAGAACTTGGTATCCCTGATTCCTGACGCCATCTAGGCTTTGTGCAGCGATTTAAAGGGGAAAAAAAAAAATTGAACCATTATTCGTATATCGAACGTATAATTGGAATTGGCATCTCATCCTATAAGATTGCTTTCTTCCGCGAGAGTATATTTCCTTAACAAATATCCTATCTTCCATATTATTCTAATTTTTTTAATTTATCTATACAATGTGCACAAATATATATTATTTTCATATTAATAATCCCAAAACTCCTAACTACCTGCAATGAGCATGCAGTAATCTAAAATTAAAAAAAAATAAAAATAACTCACAATATTATTTTAATATATGTAATGGTAATCAATTCATCAAATCTCTCAAACATCCATTAATTTATAATGTTAAAAGCTTTCTTAGTTTGCAACCTATCAAGTTAGCTATGTTTTATTAGAGAGATTATTTTCTTTTACTTTTTGGCTAGTGACAGGACAATTTTCTAAATGCATAAGAAGTAATTTGAGAGAGGTGAGGTGGGACGGTCATAATTTGTAATATCTTTGTAGTCGAAGCAGGGTCAGACAATCACCAAACACAACCATAGGATGATCTGAAATGAAATGAAGTGTTCTTGAGAAAAAGCATTCCAATATGGGTGGCCTATACAGTGTATATATATTCTTTGCCGTTATCTTCACTGTCGCTGTCCCTCTCATGTTCCCTCGATTGAAGTGGTACTTCATAATCGTTGCTTACCTCCTCGCCCTTGCCCTCAGCTTCTACAACTACGACGTTGGCTTAATCGACATCAACATGGCCTATAACTGTGGCAAGGTGGCTCTCTTCATCCTCACCACTATGTCTAGCAAAAATGATGCCTTCATCATTGGAGTCATTGGCTATGGCCTCATCAAATCAATGGTCTCCATCTCATCAAATCTAATGCATGACTTCAAAACCGGACACCTTGCCTTCACTTCTCCCCAGTCCATGCTCTTAACACAAGCCATAGGCATGTCGATGGGATGTGTGGTGGCCCCTCTGTGTTTCTTCTTGTTTTACAAGGCCTTCGATGTCGGGAATTTCAACGGAGAATACAGAGCACCACATGCTCTCATGTGTAGAAACATGGCAATTTTGGACGTTAAAGGCTTCTTTACATTGCCACAACAATGCTTGGAGTTGTGTTACGAATTTTTCACCTTCGTTGTGATAGCCAACTTGATGAGGGATGTGGGGAAGGGGCTTCTCCATTTTTTTCCCTCCATTTTTCCTATTTCTACCATTCCAATTATTTTATTAAATAATTGTTTAAATGATAAAATTAATGAATCATGAAAATGAGAGAAATAGAGTAAAAAAAAAAATGAAGAAACCTCTCTACCAAGAGATGTGAGCCCAAAGAGGGCAGATCGATGGCTCCCGCCTCCAATGGTGGTGGTGGTGTCATTTTTAGTGAGGGTTTACTTTTCAATAGACATGTGTGTGGGCAATGTGATGCTGGATGTGTAGCATAAGTTGAATATTAAATAGAAAATTTTGATAGGTGACAAACCAACTAAGCATTCAACACTACAAATTAACATACATTTAATGAATTTGATAAATTTATCACTGTTGCACCTATTAAAATAATATTATGAGTATTTTTATTATTTTTTGATACTTTAGGCTACTAGATAGTTTTCACAGATGGGTTTATTAATATTTTTATCTTTTTACCCAATTATTTATGTCAATGATTTCATATTTCGAAACTATTTTAAATTTAAATTATCTAAAAATCTAGTAGTTAATTTTTTAAGACAAAAATACCATTAAATATCATACAATGAATAATTTAATTTTATGATCCTTAAAGGGAGAAATCCTATAAAATTCCATATAAAAAATGAAAATATAATAAAATCCAACAAAACGTTAAAATACACTTAAAGCCTCAAGTTCATTTAATATAAATATACTTTTATATTCAATTACCAGCATATCCTGGCATCTACCTCCTTGCTTAGCTGCTTGGGACTCTGCTTCACCGTTGATCTCTCCCTCACTAGACTTCCTTTATCTGTTGCTTCTCCTGCTCCCTTGACTCCACCTGTAAGCGACACTAGCGGCAGACGTGAACAGCAAACTTCTATCTGCTTGAGTCATGCCTGGAAGGACATTGTCCTTAAGAACTATTCCGGCACACCTGGACGACGGATCGACAGTTCTCCAAGATTAAACAAGCACTTCCTGCGACGAAGTAAGGGAGCAGAATAACAGAAACTAAAAGTAGACACAGACGAACAGAAGGCAGAGGGAGGAGAGAACCTTGAAAACTCAAGAGGCTTATTCTTTCTGTCAGCACTTAGGGGCTATATATAGCCCGAAGATGGAGACACAAATGCTGGGTCATAATCACTGGTTAATGCTTCGGTTACACACACATTAAACAACAAAACGTTCATGGATTAATGCTTCAGTTACACACGCCTTAAACAGCAAAAACGTACACGTCCATTAATCCGAAAACGTTTAGCGTTCATTAATTTGGAGATGTTTGGAAGACAAAATGTTTAAGTCATTAACCCACAAAATCAATTTTCAAAAGAGGTTTAATGTCCAAAAACTGTCAAGGCCTCAAGTTCAAATTCAAAACAGCAAAATCAGAGGTTTTTCGGGTAAGCTAAAAATAATTATTTATTTAATTATTTTTGTAAAAATAGCCTGGTAAAACGAACCCAGTGCCTCTTGAACTCGTGCGTAGAGGGGGCGAATCGGCTAATTTCAACTGCGATTGCCCTATGTTGGCTTGTCTCATGTGCGCAGGCCACTTCTTCTCCAAGTCCATTTTACTAGCTCACTTCATTCCTTAGTATATATACACTAGGAGAGTCTTTCTTTCAGTCAATGTGGGACTTTGACACACACACACACACACTTTTGACACACATACAACAATCTCCCACATGTGTCAAAAGGATCTATGTTCGTCTGAGTTATTCACACGAAGGATAATCACTTTGAATTTAGTGTCTGTCAACTTGAACCAAACCTAGACTAATAAAACTTAACACACAGAAAAGTTGATGTAACTTCGTTATTGAACCAACAGATCTTGAGCGTGAGCTAGAGGTCTTATAAATTGGATTATACCCCCACAATCTATGCTGTTAACAATAGTTTTGCACGTTATCGGCCATATGGATACCTACTTTTAACAAATCCTCTAAAGATTTTACCATGATCTCATAGGAGCGGCCCCACTCCATATTTGTATAGGTGTTTTCATCAAGTATATCTGCAATGAATATACCATCCATAAGGACTATGTAAACATTAAGAGCTTTCTCTCAACCTTCGTTCAATGCATTCTAGCACTTTCTCAAGCCATAGGAAGGGACAAAATTCAGTGCTAGCAGAACTAACAAGTGACTTGTTCTTACCCATTGAACCTTCTTTATGGGATCTCCAATCACAAAGGTTGGGTTGCCATCACCGTTAATTTCAAATAGGCTTAAATCCTATTCCCCTCGACGTTTCAATAATAGATTTTTTCCCTAGGGGTTTAGTTAACGGATCCGCCAGATTTAACTCTGATCTCACATAATCGATTGAGATGACCCCATCTTTGAGCAACTGCCTTATAATATTATATCTCAATCAGATATGTCTACTTTTGCCATTGAAGATCTTATTTTTAGCCGTTGCTATTGCAGACTGGCTATCACAATGTAAAGACACTGATGGTGTGGGCTTTTTACCTATTGGAATACTTGCTAAGAAGTTTTTCAACCACTCAACCTCAGTCCCAACCAGCTCCATAGCAATAAACTCAAAATTCCTTGAGGATTTTTGTTGATTGTCTGTTTTGTAGACTTCCAGGTTATTGCACCACCATCAAGAGTGATATATAACCACTAGTGAATTTTGTCTCATCTGAATCTGAAATTCAGTAGGCATCACTGTATCCTTCCAATACAGCAAGAAATCCACTATACAATATACCATAATTCATAGTATCTCTCAAATATCTCAAGACTCTCACCAGAGCCTCCCATTGTTTACTACCTGGATAGTGGGTATATCTGCTCAATTTGCCTATAACATAAACTATATCAGGCCAAGTAAAGTTCATCAAATGCAATAGACTTCCAATAATTTGTGCATACTCAGACTGAGCAACTGGGTCACCCTTGTGCTTTTTTAATTGCACACTTGAATCATAAGGAGTACTCAAAGGAGCATCTTCAAGATGTCCAAACTTTCTGAGAATTTTCTCAACATAATGTTCTTGTAAAAGAAAAATTCCATTTTCATTTCTTATAATTTTTACACCCAAGATTACCTTGGCTTCACCCATATCTTTTATATTAAAATTTGAAGAAAGAAAATTTTTTGTTTCATTAACAACACACATACTAGATCCAAAAATTATCATATCATCCACATACAAGTATATAATCACATAATCATTATTCACAAGCTTTGTATAAACACATCTTTCTACTTCAACAGTAGAAAATCCACTAGTTGTCAAAACTTAATTAAGTTTCTCATGCCATTGTTTAGGAGTTTGTTTTAAGCCATACAAAGACTTGACAAGTTTACAAACTTTATTTTCTTACCCAGGAATCACACATCCTTCAGGCTGTACCATATAAATTTTTTCTTCCAAATCACCATTTAAAAAGGTGATTTTAACATCCATTTGGTGAACAAAAAGTTTGTAAATTAAAGCCAAAGCAATAAGAACTCTTATAGAAGAGATTCTAGTCACAGGAGAAAATGTGTCAAAATAATCTATATTTTCCTTTTGAGTAAAACCCTTGGCCATAAGCCTTGCTTTATACTTATCAATTGAACTGTTTGAAAAATATTTTTTTAAAAAAATCCATTTAAACCCAATAGCCTTAGCTCCTTAGGGCAAATCTGATAAAACCCAAGTTTTATTTTTCCCTAAAGAATCAATTTCAATTTCTATTGCTTCTTTCCAAAATTTAGCATCAGGAGAAGAAATAGCTTCATAAAAATTTAACGATTCATCTTGTACTAAATAAGTGTAAAAATCATCTTCAAAACTTATTTTTTTCCTTTGCCTTTTACTTCTCTATAAAACCAAATCCTCATTTAAATTTTGTTCAAATTCTGAATTCTCAATAGGTTTAGAAACATGCTTAATTTTTAAGGGAAAAATATGTTCAAAAAATTCAACATCCTTAGTCTCTACAATTGTGTTTTGGTCTAAAAAATGATACGCTACACTTTGTTCAGCATATTCAATAAACATATAATCAGAAGTTTTAAAACCAATTTTTCTCTTTTTAGGATCAGGCAATAAAACTTTCGCAAGACACCCCCACACTTTCAAATATTTTAAATTTAGGGTAAACCCTTTCCATAACTCATAAGGTGTTTTTTTTATTTTCTTATAAGGTATCCTATTTTGTAAAAAACATACAGACAAAATAGCTTTACCCCACAAGTTATCAGGTGCAGAAGAACTCACAAGTAAAGAATTCATTATTTCCTTTAACGTTCTATTTTTCATTTCTACAACACCATTAGACACGGAAGAATAAGGAAGTGTTATCTCATGTATAATCCCTTCTTTTTCACAAAAATCATTAAACAAGACATATTCTCCACCTCTATTAGATCTAACCCTTTCAATCCTTTTGTTTAACTGATTCTTAACCTCTGCTTTATATAAAAGAAATTTTTCAAAAGCCTCATCTTTGTTCCTTAACAAGTATACCTTAGTATATCTTGAAAAATCATTAATAAAGGTGATATAATATTTTTTACTACCTCTAGTCATGGTTTGTTTTAAGTCACCTAAATCTGTGTGAATTAAAGATAGTAATTTATATTCTCTTTGACTAGAAAAGTGAGGTTTTTTACTTTATTTAGTTTCTGCACATACTTCACATTTTCCAAAATCATTGTTTTTAATTTCAGAAAGTAGTCTAAGTTGTCGCATCCTATTTATATAACCTTTACTAGCATGACCTAGTCTAGTATGCCATAGATCAAAGGAATCAACCATACAAATAGGCATATACTCAGAAGATTCAGTCTTATTCATTTATCAACATTCAAAATAAACAGTCCTTGATTACAATACCCTTTGCCCACAAACACATTATTTTTTGTCATTACAATCTTGTCAGATTCAAATGACATTCTAACCCCAACTTTCCCTAAAAGAGCAACTGACACTAAGTTAGCTCTAACTTCAGGCACATGTAGAATATTGTTCAGAGCCAGAGTCTTTCTTGATATGAGCTTTAAGACCACTTTCTCTTTTTCTAAAACTTTAGCAGTTCGGGAATCAGCAAGGTAAACATGGTCTTCCCCTTCCTTTACAGGATTATAAGAGGTAAACATCTCTTGGCTAGCACATATATGTGCCTGGTAGCCTTGGAGTCTACCACCCATTTCTTCACATCAGAAATCAAGAGAGCTTGTGACACCACTGCAGCAATGATGTCATCATCACTGTCACCATCTCGTTGTACCAAATTTAC